AGTTTGGCAGGCAGAGAAGGCTGAGAAGGCTGGGCGGGTTGCGTTCAGTAGGAGTGCGTCGACAGGCCGCAATTGACAGCGTGATTCTCTCAGGGGCTTCCTGGCCAGCTCCCAATGTTTCTGCGGATAGGGCTCGCCCCCCCCCCCCCCCCCTCCCCCCCCCGCGCCCGCGGAACCGGGGCGGCCCAGGGGCCGCCCCCCCCCCCCCCCCCCCCCAACTTCCTGATCCTTCTCTTCCGCGACTCAGCGTCTCAGCTGGGTCGACGACGATTTCGACTTCGACGCACGGCGGGGAAGTCCATGCGCGGGATGCGCTCGACTGTGGTTTGCGCGATGAACAACCCACTGCGGGGCCAAATCCTGTTGGACCTTGCCCAGCTGCCCTAGGTGCGAGGCCCCTAGAGATGCCCTCTTCCTTCAGGTTTGGCTCTGTCCAACGAGTGGCCAGATTCCAGGTTTCTGTGCAGTTTCGCGTGATCATTCAGTTGCGGAGGCCGAGGGGGCCTTTTCTTTCTGGTTGCGACGCCCCCCGTCCCTGGGCTGAACCTGTGCCTTCTGATGCGTGCGGAACAAGGGAGAAGGGGGACTCAGTCCACAGGTTCGCGCGGGCCCGCCCCCGCTCGACGCTGGGCGCGCGATCGGGTCGGGCCGCGGGGTCGGGGGGGGGAGCTCTGACGCTGCGCTTCGGCGCTGCGGGTGGCGCTTCGTAGTCCTTCGCGGTGCCCAGCACCTAGCCGGGGGTTTGTGTTTTTTTTGCCGCGTCAGGTGCAAACTGTGCCAACAGCCGGGTTTCTTGCCATCGGCCTAGTTCGCCTTTGGACTCACTGAGTGCGCCATCGATAATGATGGGGTGGTCCGATGCATCCGTGCCGACCCTACAGGGGAGCATGTTACGATGTGTTCGTTGTGGCGAGATTTTTGGATAGCGGTGGGCAGCTGGCCGATCGTTGCGCATGAGATCCATCCTTGCTTTTCCCACAAGGCGGCCCAAACTCTAGGATTCGAACCCGTCCATTGGCACATGAAATGCTTACCAGATAAATCGGTGGAGGAGGCCAGGGTTGTCCAGATAAAGTTTAGGCGCCACTTCCCTGGTTCAGCAACCTCCCTTTCTTTACGGGGCGGCCGCCAAAGGCAACCGACAGCTTTCCTCTATCCCGCCTGCCGATGCCGCCCAGCGACCATCCCTCCCGCCGCTTGGAAGGCCAGCATCCACCATGGGGTCTTCTGGTGCCGGCTTTGTGGAGGCTGACGCGCCCCTTTAAACGTAAACTCCTGAATTTGGGGCGCGCCACGCCGCTTGGGGCGCGAATGGTTGTGCCTTGCAGGCGCCAGGGGTTCTCGCGACAGCGCGAGTGCAAGGGCGTTGGAAGAACTTCGACACGCGCGCGCGAGTGACACGTTTGCAATGGCTCGGTGACCATGAGAGGCGAGTCGTGGTGACTTCGTTGGCAGGCAAGTTTTCGCCCGATATCAAGGCTTGGCCTGACTGGTTGGAAGCTGGGCCACCTCCTGTCGCGGCCTCGGGTTCCAGATGTCGCTCCTCGTTCTTGAGGTGACGAAATCGGATGGAGCTGGTCCAGAACCTTTGGTCCTTTTTTAGAGGGGTATTTCGATGGGCCAGACCCCCAAGGCAGGAAAAAGGCAAGATGAGGAGGAGGGAAGAAGGAGGAGGAGGAGGAGGAGGAGGAGGAAGAGGAGGAGAAGGAAAACGAGGAGGAGGAGGAAGAGGAGGAGGAGGAGGAGGAGGAGGAGGGAGGAGGAACGGGAGGCGGAGGAGGAGGAATATGAGGAGGAATATAAGGAGAAGCAGAAGAGGAGATGGATGATAATCTGTGATGGTCGATGGGTGCAGGAGGACCGAGCACGACTGTGTTTTTGTTGAATGGCATGGGCCACGACGTCCGTTATCATCCCCCACGCCCTTTCCACAACGTAGTGCCATCTAACCCCGATGTGCCCCCCCCCCCAACACCGTTTGAACGCGCACGCGTGTGCAGCAGAGCCTCGTGGGAGGCCGTGGTCTGGCGGTCACAAGCGCGTTTAGTGCGATGCTCGCGGGCATGTTGTGACGCCCGCAGGCTCTTATGGTGCCTCCAGGCATTTTGTGGTGTTCGCAGGCATGCCATGCTAGCATTCATGCAGTGGTGTTTGCGGGTGTATCGCTGTGCTCCCAGGCAAAATTCTGCGGTTTCCACCTGCGTATTGTGTTGATCGCGGGCTTTGGTGATGTTCGCAGGCAAATCGTGGCACTCGTGCGCACAGTGGTGCTCAATAGCATGAAGTGGCGCTCGCAGGGTCATAAGGTGGTTGCAGGCATCGTGTCTACATGCTCGCAGGCATCTCGTTGTGCTCGCGGGTAGGTTTTGGTACTGGGCGGGTACGGCATGTTTCCTTGCATAGCAGTGGTGCTCACAGTCTGTTGTGCCAGTGGTCGGTTCTGGCTTTCCTCGCTGCCTGGTGGTCGCACGCCTTTAAAGCCCACGTGCCTGTAATTGCGTCGTTGGGTTACTGAGGTGCTCTCAGGCTCTTAGGCGTGCTCGCAGGTGTACTGTTGCGCTCGCAGGCACGCTTGCAGAGGAACAGTCTGGCATTATTATGTAGTTGTGGTGTCGCTGCGGCGTCCCCGCAGGTTCTTGTGGTGCTTGCAAGTCGTTGATAGGGGCAGGGTCATGGATCTGTTCTGGACTTGTTAGTGCTCGCAGCGCTCGCGGGCTATTGCGCATCTGGGAGTGTCTAGCGTCCCCCGCCGTCTGGCCGTCACACGCACATTGTGATGCTGACAGGCCCGCTGTGGTGGTCGCAGGCTTGTTGTTCGCCTCGCAGGCTATTGAGGTACTAGTCGGGTCATGATCCCCAGCCAGTGTTTGCACTTAGGTTTCTTACTTCTCTTTTCAGGAACTGAGCCTGGTTGTCGGTCCGTCTGGATTGTCGCCGCCTGTCGCCGCCTATCGCCGTCGTTTGTGGTTACGATTTTGAACGTGCGAGGCTCGTTGTTTTGCATTGCTTTGCGTTGCCTAACGTTGCGTTGCGTTTCTTTTCAGTGCGTTGAATTTTGCGCTGAGTAATTTCGGAGTATTATGCGTTGCTTTATGGTTTGCATCGCATTGCGTTGCTTTGCGTTGCTTCGTATGGCTCTGTATAGTGTTGCAATGCTTTACCTTGCCTTGCAATACTTTGCATTGCTTTGCATTGCATTGCGTTTCGTTGAACTGCTTTGTATTGTTTTGCCTTGCGTTGCGTTGCATTGTTTTGCATTGCCTTCGTTGCGTTGCATTGCTGTGCATTGCTTCGAACTGCAGTGCACTGCCATGCTGTGCATTGCTTCGCATTGCTTCGTTGCATAGTCGTCCATTGCTTTGCATCGGTTTGCATTTCGTTGCGTCTCTTTAGATTGCATTGCTTTGCATGTTGTTGCGTATTGTATTACATTGCTCTGCATTGCATTGTTTGCGTTGTTTGCCATTGTTTTATTTTGGTTTGCATTGCTTTTCATTGCGTCTTATCGGTTGCATTGCGATGCATTGGTTTGTATGGTTTTGCATCGTTTCGCATTGCTTTCTAATACTTTGCGCTGCGTTGCATTGCTCTGCAATCGCATTGCATTTCTTTGCGCATTGTTTTGTATTGCGTTGCGTCGCTTCGCATTGCGTTACATGGCTTTGCAATTGTTTGCGCTGCATTGATGGCGCCACATGGATTGCACCATTCAGTTAACACCATATTGATGGCACAACCTAGATTGTGCCGCATAGATAGTATCAGATAACTGTTTGGGGTCCACGATGGCTCACATATCATATTATATATACCCCGCCGCGTGCCAGCGATTGATGTTCTGGCATGGTTGAGGTTTCTTCGCCGTGTGCTGGTCACAAGCAGGTTGCTGGGTCTACGGGCATACCGTGCTGCTCGCAGACATACATGCCGTGGTGGTCGTTGACTAATGTGGCAGGGTCTGGCAGATGGTTGTGCATCATGGTGGCATGATGATTTCGCTCGCAGGCTAATGTAGTGGTCGCAAGTTGCGGTGCTCGCAGAAGTGTTGTTGGAGTGGTGAGGCTCAGGATGCTACTGTGAATATTGTGGGAACTGGGCTATGGATGATCTGACAGGGTCTAGCTTCCTTCGTCGTGTGGCTGTCGCATGCACGTTGTGGTGCGCACTGGGGGGGGGGGGGGGCGCTCGCAGGTTGCTGAAGTGTTTCCAAGCAGATTATTTTGCTCGTAGGCATACAGTGGCGCTCGCATACTGTTGTGGTACCCGCAGGGTTCGATTTATTGCTGTGTATATGTGTGGTGTGACTGCGGCGAGCGCATGCCATTGTGATACAGGCCATTATGATTATGACAGGGTCGAGTATCCCTTTGAGTCTGGTGGTTGCTTGCAGGCAAGTTGTGGAAACGGCAGGCATGTTTATGTTGTTGTGCGCGTGGGCATACAGTGGTACCCACAAGCGCTACGACCGCACCTTGCTGCGAGGCTGCGCTGCACGCGCGCGCACAAGTTGCTGTAGTACGGGCAATGGTGCCGGGGGCACGCTGTGTGTGTGTTTGTTTGGAGGGTGGGTTTCGCTGCACTTGACAGTGCGCACGTTTTGGACATTCTGCCTTCGACAATGTTCGATCGCAATTGGCACTTCCATCTGCCGCCCGCATCTGAGGATCCTCTGCGCCGCCGGCTCAAAAGAGTGTGTGTGTGTGTGTGTGGAGGGTGGGGCGTGGTGTCATATTCAGCCACGCGCAGAGGGGGGTGCGGGGGGTGGGGAGTGCTTCTTAGAAGCACCCCTGCTTCTGAAAAGTTGCGGGCCTTATCTATAGATGTAAGGCGGGCGCCTTCAAAGAAGCAGCCTCATCCTAAGAAGCCCTCCCCCCTCCCTCCACCCCCTTGCGCGCGCCGCCAACATATCCCCCCCCCCGGGCCCCCCCATCCCGCGCGCTATGGCCATGAAGGAACGAATGCTTTCGACGGAGGCCCGGCCCCCTCCTCCGGCCCGCGAGACGGACGTGAAAAACGCCACGGAGGAGCACCACTGCTGCAAAGCGCTGTGGGCCGGGCGCGCGACCCCCGCGGCGGGGCCCTCCTGGGCGCGTCTTCCGTCCCGCTGCCTGCAACCCCCTCGGTCCTTCCTCTCTCGTCGTCGTCGTCGTCGTCGACGTCGTCGTCGTCGTCGTCATCGTCGTCATCTTCCTCCTCCTCCTCCTCCTCCTCCTCTACTCCTCCTCTTCTTACCTCCAGCTAGAATGTCCCCACTCGTCATGGGGAGGACCTCCTCTCTCCCGTGCTGCCTCCTCCCTCCTCCCTCCCCATCTCCCTGCCTCCTCCCTCCCTCCCTCTATGCCTCCCTTCTCCCTCACTCTCTCCTTTCCCGTCTCGCGTCCCTCTCCCGTTCCCGGTTCCTCGTCCCTCTTTCCTCCCCGCATTCGTCGTTCCTCGTCCTTTGTCCCCTCCTCGTCACTCGTCCCCAGTCCCTCGTTTGTGGTCATTGGACGGGCTATGATCCACGAAACCTCCTCTTCCTCCCTTGTCCGTTGTCCTTCATGCATGCTCCATCCCTTCTCCCTCCTTCTTTCTCCCTTTCTTCGGTGTCTAGGGATCTCCTAGGTTCCACGGTCAGGGCCCACCTGAAAGCGCCGTTTTGATCAGACACGGCCTTTTGGTGACTCGCAGCGGGGAGGAGATGTGCGCACGGTTTCCCCGAGGGGCGCGGCGTTAGCCACGCCTCGTGATTCGTGTTTTGGGCTGGAGAAGCTGTCCTTCTCGAGGGCCAGCGAAGCGGCGCGAGAGCGCGCAGATGGCCGCGTTTCGCGCGGAGCGAGGCGCGCAGTCAGGTGACCCAGGGCTCCAGAGGTTCCTGGACGTCTTCGGAGGCATCCGTGACACGGGCCCCGAGAGGGCCAGGGCCGTCAATGCATCTCGATCTTCCTCGGACCCCGGGCCACGGTCCCAGGTCTCCTGTCGGGGCTCCAGAGACGGGGGTCAATGCAAGCGGGGGTCGGCCAGGGCACCGGATCCTGCAGGATCCTGCGAAGACCGCCCTCGGCTGACCCCGGGCTTAGCAAGCCGTTCGTGGCCGCGAGGCGGCCGCGCATTTTGGCTGACCCGGGTTTGCGAAGCCTCGCGTTGCAGGTTTTTCTAATTTCCTGCATTGCAGTTTTTTGGTTTCCTGCTCACCTGGGTCATATTTACCCAGGGTAGCATATCCCCGATTCTGGCGTCCAGCGGGGTGGTGGCAGGTGGCTGGAGAGATATTACCTCCACGCCGCCCAGATGGGGACGGAGTGGACGAGGTCGGAGGATCGCGCCGCGTCGCCGATGTATCCGCGATGCGGCGCGATCCAGAGCCCGATTTTTCCCATCCCGACGCCACCGATGCATCGACGATGCGGGGCCAGCTACTTTGGCCTCTGGCCCCATCTGGACAGCCTCCAGGAACGGGAAGCGAGGTGAAGGCCTCTTGGAGCCTATTGGGGCCATCCCAGAGGCATCGACCAACACAGAGAGCAGTTCTCAATTAGTCCGCACCCCTTGGCGAAAAACGAGAAAGCAAAAGTGTTCAAGGACTTTGTCCTCTCGGGAGCATTCTTGCGAGGCTGTGTGGTCACCTCGGGTCCTCTTGTTGCGGTCTTGGGGTCTGTTGGAAGCGTGCTGGAAGCCATTTTGTTCCAATTCGGGCCATCTTGCGCCGTCGTGTAGGCCATCCATGGCTACATCCCTGCGAATCAAGTTGATAATAACAACGGCACGGGGGTGGATGGGAACACGCGATAGAAACCATGGGTGGGACCCGTTGCATTGAGTAGCATCCTCCTTTCCAATGCTACGAACCACCCTGACGAACACAACACATATCACACACGCAGGCTTGCATCGTGGGAATGATGGTGTAAATTTGAAGGCAGAGACAGCCGAGACTATGGCAAGCGGGGGATCTAGTTGAAGGAACACCCAGGCACTGCGCGGTATCCGCCTCTCAATGTTGCGTGAGGCGGGCACGCCAATAAGGAATTCATCGATGACTTGGCCATGGCGCTCATCCCCGCGCGTTGCCAATATTGGAAGCTGGTATCATTCAATGATTATTATGTCGGCATCGTCGTTGGGTTTTCATCGGGTGTGATCGTTTTGCAGATCGTGCTGTTAATTTTCTCCCAGGTGTGTATTCGGAGCCATTTTACTTGCAACCAAAACGAGACCTCTGACAACCCATTGCAGCCCCACTCCCGGAGGGACTCCCCCCTGTAGGACGGGTCAGCCACTGGAGTATTTCGGCGGTAGCACCTTTGTCGTGCCAGAGCCCCCAAGACGGCCAGTATAGCCTTACATTGCATAGACGGCCAATCTGGTCCAAGACGGCCAATGTGGCCCCGAGTAGTGTCCAATTTGGCTAAACAAGGCATCAGTATTGCTTTCGCACGCAGGGTGCCGCGCCTAGACGGCGCATCGGCAAGAAGTGAAACAAACGAGCGAAACATGTGTGCTGAGGCATTCAAGGCGAGATTGAACAACAACATGGACCAGCGCAGTGCCTCGGCGAACATACGTAGGATGCTTTGCCCTATAGCAGGGCGAGGGTGGCGTTGCATCGATCTGGGACGTAACGATGCCTCTTATTCAACCATGGGGGCCTGTGGAATATTCACACAATATCGCAATACGCTTTGACTGCCGTGTTCCAATTACCGGCCGGGCCTGCTAATAGATACTCGAGGCGGTGGGGGTCGTCTTCTGCTACCTTCAACGCACGAGCGTGCTAATATGTGGTCCATTGAAGTCGCGGGCTCACTCTGTTTCTTGGTGACCGCCAGTCGCGCGGTATGATGCTATATGCTTGCTCTTGTTGGAAACCATCGCTCGGGAGAGCGACTGCGGCGGCGTTCTGGCTAGTTTGCCATAGTACTCAAGCTGACGGTGCAATAATATAACGGACAACGGACAGACTTGTGCCTGCGACCTCACTTGAGCATTGCTGACGCGGGATAAGAAAGCCAGCGGTATTTTCCATATTTCCGTAAGCATGTTGCTTGGAACCCATCAAGTCGGTTCTGGTCTGATTTGAAGAGCACGCAATGTTCCAAACGATACAATAGTTTTGAAAATAACCGCAATAAACAATTAAGACCCCCCCCCCTCTCCGGCGAAAGTATGACGCACCCAGCACCCCAGAAGCGTTACCCTGGCACCTCGCACCTTTACGTGAACGGAACGCAGACGAGTCTGCTCGCCGAAACGAGCAAATCGCCTGAGACATTCTCGCAATATGGTCTCCTCGTGGTTCTGAAACACGCGCCTCGCCTGAGACATCCTCAGAAACTGCTCTGAACGCAGACGAGTCTTATCCTTGTTCTTATCATGAATTGTATTCTTATTATTGCTCTTTTTATTAGTATTTCACTCTTATTCTTATTATTATTCCAATTCCAATTGGGATACCACCCGAGCCGGGGCGCGGGAATTATTTATGTTCGTTCCATTTGCGCGGTGCTAGTCATATCGTTCGGCGAAAACCGCCCCCCAGAATTACTTAATTACGGTGCTGTGCTAATGATAACCCCGGGGGGGTCCTAAATGGCTTCTTGCGGTTACGCAGGCTTGCAATACGCGCAATTTGTGTTGCCGGGACAAGTTTGCATGGTTTTAAATTGCGCAGAGTTTATCGAAAGCCCCTTTGGCTTCTCCCAAACGTCGCGTGATCTCTGTTCCACGTCTCCCACTTGCTGTCAAAAGTCCGCCCAAGTAGACCACGTTGCTCTGAGTTCGGATTGGTTCCCCACTTGGCCCTGCCACGGTACCATCGGTGTTGATTTGTAATAACATCCATCGTCTTCTCTTGATTGAGGTCCAAAACAAATGCTCTTCCAATGTTTGCAACTATGTTAAAATGTCTCCGGAGGGATTCTGCGCACTGCGCAATTAATAACATCGTCTGCGTAGGGGAAGTCGTTCGTGATCAAATATGGGTTTTGTCTTGGTTTACAGGCTGCACGGCTACTTCGTTGTCAACGGCCTCCATAAAAGCACAGACATGACGATAACGAACAGATGCGGTGAAAGTGGGCATCACTGTGCTATTCCGGCGTGCTGTGTTTTCTGATCAGACCGTGTTTCCCCGTCTTTCACAATGAGTTTCTTTACCATGTGAATTGCACGTGTCATGTCCAACATGGCGGGTGGTATTCGAGAATGGCGGAGTGCAAAAAGTAGCCTCTCTGGCCTGATACGATCAAACACTTTGTTCCAGTCCACCAATAATAACAGTAGCGTGCCATGCTTGTCCTCGAAGGTAGCGTCGATCAACCGTCGTACCAAGAATAATGCATTGCTCGTGCTTCGACCAGCTCGGAAACCGTATTGGGATTCTCGTACCGATTTGTCGGCCCCCCAGTCTTTAGCCGATGAAGGATTATGCTGGCCAGAACTTTGCAGCCAACGGCCAATAAGGATATTGGGCGTTAGTCGTTTGGCTGAGATGTGTCTTCTTTCTTGAAACTAGAAACCACTGATGCTTCCCGCCAGTCTTCTGGTAAATCCTTCTGCTGCCAACAGGTGTCGCACAGTTCCCAGAGTACCTCTAAAGCAGCGCTGTTGCTCCACAGTATTTGCCATAAGTCGGGGGGAACGCCACCGTTCCCAGCAGTTTTCTGGACCCTGAGATTTTGACAGCACGCCGAACCTCGTCCATTGTAACACTTCCCACTTCGGTGACAAGATGATCCGCGCGATCCATCATATTGGGAAGCTGTTCCGAATCATGGCATAATTTTCATTGCTCGCTTTCGAGAAAATCGGCCATAGCTCAGAGCCCCGAATCATCAGGGGTAACTCGGGTCAGGGCTAACTCGGGTTCGTTTTTCGGGAATCCGAGCCCGAGTTACCCCGGGCCCGAGTTATTCCGCAAAATTCGAGCGTCCAGAGCCCCAAATCATCAGGGGTAATTCGGGTCAGCGCTAATTCGGGTTCGTTTTTCGGGAATCCAAGCCCGAGTTACCCCGGATACCTCGGGCGCCCAAATATTCTCGGCTTTCTTTTCCGAATCCACTAGATGCCCATTTTTGT